CAGTTTGAGGACTCTTTCAGCACCCCAATACATGTGATATTTTTGGAAAGTTGGTACAGCCCAAATTATCTTTCGTTGAGAAATACAACAGGATAAAGGGAGTCCTGATTTTTATATTGCATGTCATAATGTTCCCTGGAAACCCCAACTTAGAAGAAAAACAGGATATTCTTTCTTCTCTAATACACCATAGTATTTGAATGTCACATAATTAGAAATAAGTAAAGTTTGGCTTCGACGGTTGCTGTCTCTATTACCATATGCATGTATCTGGAAATTATTTTCAGTTCTACATTTTATTTGAATTTCAGTAGAATTCTTGGTAAAAACCAGTAGAATTTCTGGTGATGGTTTTCTTTGAGTTAGGGATTTCTTTATTACATTAATCTGAGGAGGAATAAATACTCTTTTCTATTAATAATGGTAAGTTATTAGTATGGTCCAAACTTTAGAATGAAAATTGCTACCACTGTATGTGTTGCTAAAGGCAGCTCAAATATCTACTCAAGATGTCCTGTGGCAGATAAAATTTGGACATGACACAGAGACGTGGACTCAATTTCTGCATCAACAAACTGAGGCTTACCCCAAATCTCAGGATTTTCTCTCAGCTAAAGACAAAGCATCACATGTAAAACTCACGGCACAAAATTTGATACATAACTCCTAAATTGATATTACCCACTTTAATGCTACAACTTCTAATTAACACATATTGTTTAATAATAACAATCATAAGGCATAAACTACAGGCAACAACATCTGCTTTACAACTACTTAAGTCTGAGAGATTTGAGACAGCCAATCTCATAGCTTTGTGGAAGCCAATTATAATTTTGGATTCTTCATTGAATATATACAGTAGTTGTAATTGGACTGTAGGAACCATAGAAAATCATGTTTTAAGTTTCCTATTTCATAGTTCAAATGTTATTGCATCCTGGGAAAGAACCACCGAGCATGCTTTCACACTGTTTAGAGAGTAGAGAACTGCCACTTTCTGAACTGAAATAACATCCCAAAAGGGATAGAACTTGGCTTTGAGTCTATGGCTTATTATACCATGTCTCAGAGAAATAAATATTATTTTGTTTAGGTGAGATATTAGGGAATAGAAGACTTCTAGAAGAAAGGTGCAAGACACATGAAAACTTTTCAAATCAGCTCAAGAGGGTGGGCTTAGCATCAATCACTCATGAACAGAGTATTTACTATTGAGAGAGAACTCCCTCCTAAAATGGCATCAAAAAAATAAAATTAATAACCTTGACCTGTCACAAATTACTTTAAGATGACCTGAACTTGGTCTGAAATAGGTTAGTTTCATTTTACTTAATGCTATTTTAAACATTAATCATGAAATGTTTATTTAATATTTATATAAATGAAGTAACAATCACGTATCCTGTTTATTAATATACTGCCAACTTAGAAATGGAACTCGTTTATATTAAGTTGGGGAATGTTTTTAATTTACTCAATGAACCTAAGGTAGCATGTCAAAAATATAAAACATTTCAAATTTAAACTCTAAGGCACTTTATTGAGTAAATATGTATATGAATACATATATGCATATAGGAGCTTGGATTTTCTTTCTTAATATAATTAATATACTTTAAGTTCAAATTACTTGTTCAAAAGAGTAATAGAAGCATATCAGATCAACATGTCTCACCTTCAAGCTATAGAGCTACTCTGTAACTATCTCACGATGTTAGCAGAGGAGCAAAGTCTCCTGGATTTGAGCAAGGGCTGTGTAATCCACAGCAAATGCAGCAGTTGAGTGTCATATGCCGCTGGTGCCAGACCCTGTCATCAAATGCATCACAGTGGACACAAGGGGCAATGGTGGACGCCTGTTTATGTAGGCTACGTTCAACCATGAAGGCCTGGGGGAATTCACATCAGCCTGCTTTGGGCCTCAGGGTTGGTAATGTCTAGACCTAGTCCTTCATGACTACTCACTGCAGACACTACCCCAGCAGATGGCCCAGGATCTCACAATCCAAGGGCTTTCTGTTCCTGTCATCCATCAAGTTAACTGCAAAAGCAAGTAAGTCTCTGTATTTCTGTGTGATGAGTGCCATACTTCCCTAAAAGAGGAGCAGATGAGCAATCTCGTCATCAATGACAATGTTTCTCCCTCTTGTGATTCTCAAAAGAAAATAGAGAAGTCGTCTCCAGGTGACTGTAACACAATGGCCTACTCTTTCAGGTCTTCTCAGCCACAGGAAATTTATGAATGTTAGAAATGCCATGAATATATTTTTATTTTAGAATGGCAACATGAAATAACATAAAGTCACCAGGATAGAAACAACACAGCTGAATGCACGAGGGCTTTCTGCTCGCTCTGCTAAATGACCATGAAGACACAGGAGCGAATGTGAGTCTGAATGTGGAAGGTCCACAGTGGTCCCCTGTGAAGATGCATACTAGACATTGGTCAGCGCTGACTGATGTGAACAGCTGGCTTGGGGTGGACAGAGTGGTATAGTTCAGAATGGATTCTACCTCTATGTGGAAATATGGAGTTGTCTTGTTCCTTAATCAAGTTGGGCGGGTCACTCTCCTAGCCAAGGGGCCAACCCTCAGGAGGGCAGAACCACCTTGAGCCAGGCTATAGAGACAGGAGGAATAATATAATCTTTTAAACAAAATACTGTGCTATTCCGTCTCAAAATTCCCATCCATACAACCTTGGAAGTCTGCCCATTTTTCTGAGTTACTCAAAAAAGTGTAATTTTTCCCGTTTTGGTTTCTCTTTTTCCTAAGGATGTTTTGGGTTTCTCTCTTTTTTTTTTTTCCTCCAATTTTTGCCTCCATGCCATGGGCTGACCTCCATACCAGCTTAACTCAGAGAGCAGGACCTTTTCTTTTTCCCTGAACAGCTTCTTCCTGGCAGCTTGCCTCCCTGGGGTGTGTTTTTAAACTGGAACAAACTTGTCCTGGAGCTGTTGTTTGAGTTTGTTCTTAAGTTATTTTATTAACAAGAAGAAGACCCACTAGGGAAGACCTGGAATCCCTGGTAACATGTGGTGATTCTCCAAATGTTCAGTAACCAAACTAGGAAGAAATGAATACATAGGAATCTAGGAAGATAATAATTTGGGGATCATAAATAAAGAATAGCATTTTTGAAAAATATTTGAGAGATCCAATTTCAGTGGCCTAGAGCAAGGCTTTTAAAACATTTCCATTTACGATCCCTTACCATTCAACATAAGGAAATTTATTTTAAAGCAGGTTTTTTTTTATTTTAAAGATGAAATAAATTTTATGTACTACTGAGATGAGTATGCTTGTTTATTTTTACATGAAACTTACATGTTGGCCAAATATTTGATGACAGTGATGTCAGAGATAGTGATGTAGAGTTGACGGGTATTCTGATTGATTTGTTTGTTTGTTTGTTTGTTTGTTTGAGACAGGGTTTCTTTATTTGGACATAAATGTCCTGGACTTCACTTTGTAGACTAGGGTAGCCTCAAACTCAAGAGATCTACCTGCCTCTGCCTCCAGAAAGCTGGGATCAAAGGCGTGTGCCACCATTGTCACTTGGCTGGTACTTTGTTTTATACTCTCCAATTCCAACAATGTCATTTCACATGCGTAAATATTAGAAAAGAGCAGAAATATGTCTACTATCATTTCTGAAATCATTGGAAATTCTGTCCTATATCCCAAGTCAAAACTCATTTAATTTTTTTTTAATGAAACTTAGGTCAGGAATTTATACAGTAATTTTTAAAATGCAATATAATCCAAACACATACTAACTTGGTACTTGCATGTTGGTCAGGAATTATTTTTAAAGTTTTTGGTTTTTATAATTAAATTATTATATTTCCTTATAAATATTTTTTTAATTTCCTTACGTGTTCAACAATGCTGAATTCTGGGACAGTTCCACAAGCCAAAGAGTTCATATTGTGTGTCTAGACCAAAATGAAGCCCTATTATGTGACAGCACAAGCACTGAGAGAAACACCTTGGATTCATTACAATTTGATTTCAAATTAATATTGGTTACTGCACATTCTGAAAGCTTTTCTTGTCATCAATATTTTGTGACACCCATATTCTGTTCTATAACTGCTTATGGATCACAAGCCACAGCTTAAGAAATGCTAAAGAGTTAATAAAAGTAGGCTGAATACACAGGAGGATGCAGAACCGCATCCCAGCACTCCTGGATAATTTGGAGTAAAAAAATGAAATTTACCCCCAAGAAACATGACATTAGCCATAATCATTTGCTTTTCATTATACTATCTGTTGTACACGCACACATACACACACACACACACACACACACACCATACACACACACACACCAAACCAAACCAACAACATTTATAAGCTTTGGTGATTACTGGAGTTTCTAGACACTTTAACTTACAGTACAAAAATCTTTGCCAAGATGGCAAGAGCATATCAATAGTCTTGAGGACAAATAATATTAAAAATCAATAATTTTCTCTAATAAACAATCCAAATACTTCATTTAAACTAATATAGTACTTTTATGTAGTCTCAGAATTAACCATATTTCTTTAAACCAGTTAGAAGAAAGTTGTGGGTTTTTTGTTAGTTAGTTAGTTAGTTAGTTAGTTAGTTAGTTTGTATTTTTCTGGAGACACTATCTTATTGTAACCCAGGCTGGCCTTGACTTCACTATGTACCTGAGGATGACCTTGAACTAAGTAATATGTTATTCTTAACCAATCAATATACCAGATCGATCACTCTACCAGACCCAGTAGTTCACCTCATTTCACAAGAATTTACTGACATTCACTTTTTTTTTTCTATACTTCACCAACAATGGTACTTCTAAGAATAATCATTGACACTTCAAAAGTCGTTAAGGTGGTAAAAATTAGGTTGCCTAAGATCAACCCTCTGATACGTCAGTAAATCAATATAAACAGAAAAGAGCATCGGTATCTGAGACTCTGGATATTGAGTGCTTCTTAATGTGTGGCTCAAATTACCTGATTGCAGGTGTTGATGTCAATGCCCCCTTTCAGATACTCCACAACTTTGTCCAGATTGCCTGCTCTGGCAGCGCGGAGGAAGCTGGCATTGCTGTCAGACTGCAAGAAAAAGAAAAGGCCTTTGGTGAATCACGCAGAACATCAAATACACCAAAAACAAGAAGACAAGAGTGTTAACCCTGCACATTAGACAAGCATGGGCTGATAAATGTTTCACTGCTGGCTTTAAGACACTGAGGTGTCATTCATTGGCAACCACAAGGATACCAAAGGAACCATTAAAATAAAAATGACCATTACTGCTGTATTCCTAATCTTCAGCCAATTCAATGATGAATCTACACTATGCAAAATTCAACTGTCATCCATTTTAGACCTTTTTCCATGCTTGAGTGTTGTATGCAGGGTGTTCACGTGTGTGGGGATAGACATGTGAGGGGGCGTGAATGATCGCAAAGCCCTTGGGTTGATATAAGGTATCTTGTCCCATGGCCACTTTACTTTCTATTTTTATTTATGGTGGTGGGCTCTGTCCCTTGAAGAACTGAAGGCTTTTCAGAGGGTTAATCTACTTAGTCTGCCTGTCCATGGGCTCCTCTGCCTCCTTAGCACTGGGATTACAGTGGCCATAATGCCTGCTAAGTTTTTTTTTAATTTTTTATTTACTTTTACTTATTCACTTTATATTCCTCTAACTGTCCACCTCCTAGTCACCCCTCCCACAATCCTTCTCCCATCCCACCTCCCCTTCTCCTCTGAACAGGTGAAGGCTCCCCTGGGTATCTCCCTACCCTGGCACTTCAAGTGTCTTCGAGGCTAGGCTCTTCCTCTCCCACTGATGAAAAGAACTTCTAGAGGTATCACCATCCCTGACCTGTATTGTATTGAGCTGTACTATAGCACAACCATGATAAAAGCTGTGTGGTATTGGTACAGAAACAGACACACCGATCAATGGAATCCAATCGAAGACTCAGAAATAAACTGACATACCTACGGACACTTGATTTTTGATAAAGAAGCCAAAACCATACAATGGAAAAAAGAAAGCATCTTCAATAAGTGAGGATGCCTTCTAAGATTTGTATGTGGGTTCTGGGAATCCTAGTTCTGGTCTTCAACTTGTACAGCAAGTGTGTCATGTACTGGGCCATCTCCACAGCCCCTTATCCATTTGCTTTCACATTGGGTTTTTAGTGATGAACGGATACCAAGCATACTAGCAAGTAAAAAGAGGAAGAAGAAGAAGGAGAAGAAGGAGAAGAAGGAGAAGAAGGAGAAGAAGGAGAAGAAGGAGGAGGAGAAGAAGAAGAAGAAGAAGAAGAAGAAGAAGAAGAAGAAGAAGAAGAAGAAGAAGAAGAAGAAGAAGAAGAATTATTTTAAAACTAGATGAAACAACAGCTGCTTGGGTTCCTTTCTCCTTTACTGTTAGCTTTCAGACGACTCAGCGGAAGAGTGCTGAGATGGGGTCACTACAGTTGTCCAGCCTCATGTTGAGAGAATAAGATGCTTTGAAAAGAGGGGAAAGCGTTCGCTGGCAGGTGTGCTCTAGGCTAATGCAAGTTTTGTCCTCCTAGTGATTTGGGGAAAACATGATTAAATGTGAACCAGCTGACATAATACCAGAATGAAAAATCTTGGTAAAGATGATAGCTCTCAGGATGGAGACTTTGTTTTAAGTATTTCATCTTCCCACAGTCTCTAAAAGTCTGATCCTGGGAAAAACCATCTCATTTGCCTCGTAAAAAGTGCCAGGATAGGGCGGGGGGATGCATAGGGGAGCTCCCACCTGCTCAGAGGAGAAGGGAAGCTGATGTGGGGGAAAGATTGTGGGATAGGGTGACCAGGAGGTGGGCAGTGAGCAGGATGTAAAGTGACTAAAAGGCTGTTCCAAAGGCAGAGTTACAACATCGCCCCAGGCTTGGATAAATACTCTAACTTTTAAGCCTTAACATAATAATGACAATAACCTTTTGTTAGGGTTCAAGGCTCTTACATAACTATTGTAAATTTTCTTGTGGTATAATATCTAGCCAAAGAGAAAAGGGGTCTGAAGAGGGATGTAATGCTCATATTTGGACGTGAGAACTGAGTTTGGTGACTTCTGTTTTCTTTCAGGTTTGATGACATTCTCCTTAATAGATTGCACAGCCCCTTTCCCTTGAACAAGAAGACTACACTTGGCAGAGGTTCTTGGCACACTCCGTCAAAGCTGTTTTTAAAAGAGTTGTGATGATGGGAAGGTAATAGAATTGGGAATATTTTCTCATGTATTTCTCAAATACATGATTGCTTGCACATCGTTAAGTCATTTACACACAGGAACCCTGAAAAGCCAAGAAATGAATTATCTCACATCAGTCTGAGTACCACATGGGTTATAGGTTTCCAAGTCACACAGATGCTTTAGAGTGGAAAGGCGTGGTTGAAATCTATACATCCCAAATCCGTGCTCTGCTTCTTTGGAAATGCCTCAATGTGTACAGAGTGTGGAAACATTCTCCTTCCCAGCATGCCTTGTGCTACATCCTTCCTGAAAGCCAGGCTGATGGCAGAGTGCCCCAGTCCATCTGCAATGATGCAGGGACTGAATTGTGACTCACTTTAAGATGCTTCCTTTATGAAATGATTTTGCTGTTTTTAGCTAATGCTAAACTCCAGTGGGATTTTCCTTTCCAGGTTTCTTCCTATATCACTTAAGCATAGCTCAGTGTTCCACACGGCACTATGAAGAGCTCATAAAGAAAAACTTATTTTTCTTATTATAAATCAATGAAAATAAATTGTGAAGTCCCACATATAAAATATAAAAATATTAACAGTTTTTCCAAAATAAACTTCATTTAAAAACTGAGTCAACAAAATACTGCCAATTTGTACATGACACAAGTAATTGTAGGTGATATTTATTGTTTACTATGCACCAAGAAAAGAGCTAAAGGATAATTAATATCCATAATAAAACTATAAAAAATGATATGTCATTATGGGAAAAGACGCCTACAAGTTTCTTAAGTCATATGATTACTCAGGGATGGGGGAGACTGAAGATTAATTTCACATCTGTCATAGTCTGTGCAAATTATCAAAGCAGAAAACGCTGCAGATTCCTCACTGATGATAAACTGGCTTCATTTCCTTTGGCATGACCACATTTACCCCTTCTACGTGAACTTCGTAAGCCGTAGCATTTATGACATCACTACTACACAGGAAATTCTTACCTGTTACGTCTGCTTCTACTTTCTGTTATTTGCAACTACCAAAAACTTAAGATCTGAGTGAGGAAAAACCCAGAATCTTCTTCAGTTGGGAATGTGGAGAAAATTGGCATTGTATACACATGACTAAAAAGCCATTCAAGAAGGCTAGAGAGATAACTCTCTGGTTAATAAGCACTTGCTGCTCTTCCAGAAGATTCAGAACTGGTTCCCAGCACACATGCAGAGCAGCATACAACCAGGGCACTCCACACTCTATACTGGCCTTTGTTTGCACCCACAGTGTGTGTAGCATACACACACACACACACACACACACACACGTACATAAATACAAATTAATCTTTTATTTTTAGGAGAGAATCAACACACCAGGAAGTCCTTAAGGATATCTGCCAAGCTTCTCTGAGGAATGGGCAGATGACAGGTGCTTTTGTTGTTACAGACTATTTTCATAACTGGTTGTCTCCTTTCTCAGTTAATTTTAAAAAAAATAGATACAAGTTTAAGACTTGGAGCAAACCCCTGGAATTAAGCAAATAAAATTCCTAGTGTTATAGTAAATGTATCATTTTGCCACACTGCCAGAAGCCTCTTAAGCAGTTTAATATATGTGAAATTCTTCTGCAACCCCGTGAAAGGACTCAGTTCTCTCAAAGTGAAGAAATGAAGTAAATAAAACTGTTATGATCATGTGGTTCAAAACATGAATTTCAAGGACAGAATTAAAATAAACTTCCAAGATTTGTATATAGAAAAAAAAATGAAGTACCCTTAGGTTCAAATGCATACTCTTCTCTTTCTTGCATGCACATGTCGGCAAATACACATGTCAGAACACTGTTCTACAATGGGGTCAATCTGTGATTACAGCTCTTGGCAAAACAGCTTTAGACAACAGAAGCCTAGTTACTTTTAATCAATAAGTAGATAAAAGAGGATTCAAACACACACACACACACACACACACAAACACACACACATACTGAGAGAGAGGGAGAAGAGGGGAGGGGAGGGGGAATGGCAGGGGGAGGAGACAGATTTTTGCCCATCTACCTTCCCCTCCAATTATGAAAAAAATAAAGATAGAGATTTTATTCAAGGATTAGCAGGAGGAAAGCAAGCCTTCAAAACAGCTTTCTGTTTTTTTGAGGTTTTTTTGTTTTTTTCTAGCCAGGAAAGTTCTAACATCAAAGCTCAGTATAGTAAAAAGAAGCAACAGTAACTCCTCTGGGAGAAGGGCTAGACAGACCAGAGACTAACCACTCTCTCTGTTTGGCTAATTTGTACCTGTCCCTAGGACCCTCAAAGCCTGTAACCAACTGTACTTGGCTCTACAAAGCTTCATTCTCCGGGAGGAAATCAAATGTTCAGTCCCACCTATTTTAATATGCAACATATGGTTATCATTAAGTGTGCCTCCTTTATAACCTTCATGTGACAAAAAAAAAAAGCTTCCTCTTCAATTTGTCTTGACACAGTTCCATTTCTGTATCCGAACATCAGCAAAATAGGGTTTTCTTTGCACCCAGCATGAATATAAAGAGAAATGTGTGTTTCTAAGTCCTATTATATACTAAAAGAATACTTCCCCAGTGTTTCAGAGCCCATGACTCTATACAGATTTAAAAATAATTACACTTATTATTAGGTTATTTCAATACTAATCTAATGAGAAAAATAAGGAATATTCCAGGACATGTGCGCAGCAAACCTATGACAGAGCACAGCAGATTATTTTGATGTATACCTCTGTGCTTTTAAATATTATCTAACAAGTGAAGTCCAGAGGATGTGTGTGCATATGTGTGTATGTGTACACTAGTGTGCTTGTGTGTGTTTGTGTATATATGTATGTGTGTATGCTTCTGTGTGTGT